GCTGGCGGCGGGCAACGCCGAGCTGCTGCCCACAAAGGCGCACGCGCCCGAAGGGTCCACCTTCACTGCGTCGTCGGCGGCCCCAGGCTTCGGTCTGTCCAGGAGCGCCTTCCTCCAGTGGGGAGGGTCAGCTGCTACAGTGGAGGCCCATGCCAAGAAACACTCTGGGTTTCTTGGGTTCCGATGGTCTTTCGGTGGAAGTTCGTGACGTCCCCACACCAAAATTCCGTGGACGCCCTGGGGTCTCAGGGGTGGGTTTCTTGTGCAAGGTTTCTTGTGGACTAGCTTCCACTGCGTTCTGGAGGGTGCTTCCGAGAGGGCCTCGCCTCCTCCTCCTTCTCCTCCTCCTCCTCCTCCTCCTCCTCCTCCTCCTCCATTTCTTCTCCTTGTAAATAGTTGTTCCCTGTCGCACCTCGAGGCAAGTTTTTAGGTTTGAAGTTTCGAGATGGGCAACAGCTTCGCAGATGGAGGGCGGGTCTTTTCAAAATGTGGCTCTTGCCTTAGCGCCTCGCGCACTCGCCTTAAACATTTGCAAGACTGTCACGGATTAAGGGTGGGTCGGTTTCAAATTGTAGGTCTCGGTCTAGCGCTGCGCACATTCGTTTTCAACATGTGCATGCTGCATGAGTGTCACGGATTGAGGGCGGGTGGTTTTCAACATGTTGCTCTCCCTTCAGAGCCGCGCACATTCGTTTAAACAATTTGCAAGACCTTCGTTGATTGAGGGCGAGTGGTTTTCAACATGTGGCTCTCGCCTTACCGCGCCGCACATTCGTTAAACAAAATTGGAAGAGCTTCGCGGATTGAGGGCGGGTGGTTTTCAACATGTGGCTCTCGTTTTAGCGCTTCGCGCACTCGTCGGACACATGTGCGAGAGTTTCACGGATTGAGGGCGGTTCTTTTCAGACGGTCGCCGCGCACATTCGTCTTAAATACTTGTAAGGGTGTCACGGGTTTCCATGATCAGCGTACCAAATACTGTGTTTGGAAGGGTTCAGGCGTAAGAGGGTGCACCACTTATGTTGATTCGCGGTGTTCAGGTCCCAGGAATAGCGTTCTGGTATGATTCAGGATCGTCAAGACGCAACAGTCTGGTTGATCCGCGGCGTTGGAATCCCGAGAACAATGTTACGGCATGCTACAGGGTCTTCTAACCGTTGTCTTCCAAGGAGGCAGTTCCTTCAGCAACAACGAACCGTTGTAAGGGCCTATGAAGAGGGAGTTTTGAGGGAGGGTTTATTCCAACATCGTTGATGCCTTTCGGGTTTCCAGTGATCCTCCTCCTCCTCCTCCTCCTCCTCCCCATTATCCTCATCCTCCTTTCCCTCCTCCTCCTCCCTCGGCGCGCCGCCAGAAGAGCGGGAGCCAGCGGGCTGCAGAGAAGCAAGAGGGCGGCGGCAGGCGGACGCCGGCGGAAGGCCGGCGGATGCGCGGCCACTCCCATAGTTAACTCTCATAGTTAACGTGAAGGAGCGGAAGCGATAATGAGAAGGCCGCGAGCCGCTCTCATAGTTAACGTGAAGGAGCGAGAAGGGGAAGCGAGAAGGGGGAGCGAGAATAGGAAGCGAGGGGGGGAAGCGACAAGTGGAAGCGAGAAGGAAAAGGCCCTCTCAGAAGGCGGCGGGGCTTGACTCGAAGAAGATAAGACGCCATAAGCATAAATTGTTCGCGCTCCGCGCGGATTTCTTGGATCTACGCTGGGCCCCCCCTGGCGCGCTTCGCCCGCCACGGAGGGGGGTCCAGCGCAGATCCAAGAAATCCGCGCGGAGCGCCAAAAGCTTATGATAATGGTATCCGCTGCGGCGAGCGGGAGGGGAAGCGAGCGAGCGAAGGATCGGCACGAACGGAATTGCTACGGAAAGAATGGGTACAATGTCCCACAGCAGTTCCTGTTCATTTCGAGCAGGACTCGCTGTCCGCGCCGCCGCCGCCTGTGTCCTGTGTCCATTCGAGACAAGCGGCCGCCTGCCCAACAGCGGCCGCTGTTGGGTTGTGATGCCATTGTCCTTGGATATTGTACCCATTCTTTCTGTACCCATCTCGGGCGTCCAAAAAAGGAAAAGACCCTGTCAGACGGCCTTCTGAAAGGTGTTGTGTGTGTGCCTTCGAGAAAGGCTCAGAAGACTTCTCCGAAGGCCGGGGGAGTTCTGGGCCTTCTGCAAAGGCCTATTCCCTTTCATTTCCCCCAGGCGCGCCGCCAAAAATTGGGATGGCAACATTTTGGGGTTCAGGGTTTCCGCAATCGGTTTTCATATACACATTTCTAGACTCACATTTGTATGTGTGTATATGGATTCCGCCCCTGCAGAGGGCCCCCCCGGCCTTCCGGTTTTCCTGCGCGCTCCTGCCGGGCTTAGCCAAGGGGCCTAAAGCAGTGAGGAGGCCAAACGGCCCCGCGAGAGCCTTAAGCGGCCCCAGGCACTCCCAAGACGCCCGAAGACAACCCAAGGAAGGCTCTCACGAAGCCAGTCAATCAAACACAATAGATGTTGTTGTTCTGAAGGTTTTGCGTGGTTTGAAGGTGCGTATTCGGTTCTTCGGTATTCTGGATTTCCTAGAGCGCACAGGGCCCCTGTCATTGAGGGAGGCCGTGCTTGGCGGCAAGGTGGCCCCAAGAAGCACCCATAGGCCCCACAATCGCGCACAGGAGATCTCCAGAAATGCCCCCGGGAAGCTTTCGTGCGGCCTCCAGGAAGTGCGCCCCCCGCTCAGATTACGGTAATACTTTCAGGAAGCCCCAAAGGAAGCCCCCCAGGAAGCCTCCAGGAATGCCGCCAGGAATGCCCCCAGGAATGCCCCCAGGAATGCCTCCAGGAAGCCCCCCCCCCCAAGAAATGCCCCCAGGAATGCCTTCAGAAATGCCACCAGGAAACCTCTCCCCCCGAGAAGCTTTCGCGCGGCCTCCGCTAGACTCTCCTAAGAAAAGCCGCCGTTACAAAAATACTGGAGAAGAGACGGGGTAGGGTTCGCATGGAAAGAGCGAGACCAACAAGGGGGGAAAGCAAACAGAGAAAATGAGGATAACGGAAAACTGTGAAGACACGACGAGCATGAAAACGAGAACACACACACACACATATACGTATGTATATATATATATATATAGATTCGATATTTTGGGGGGCAAAGATTCGTTCATTCCTAATTGTTATACCCTGGGCCTCTTCCTGGCCATTAGGGGGCCAAGCACAATTAGAAACGAGCGCAACTAGAACTGAACACGATTAGAAATGAACGACTTGCAAGTATGATTGTTACCGTTAGTATTCTTATTGTGATTATTCTTAGTATGATCATGTTCCTTACCATTATTCAGATAACCATGTAAGGTTTGGTGTGAGTATTCTTATGTAGTATTACTGATGTAAAATGTACTGTCATTTGTGTTGTATGAAAGATCTCGGTCTCTCCCTCTCTTGCACTCTCTCTCTCTCTCTCTCTCTTCACCCTCTCTCTCGACCTATTCCTCTCCTTCGCTCTCTCTCTCTTTCACTCTCTCTCTCTCTCTCTATATATATACCCCGAGTTAACAACAAAGCCGTGGTCGACGGGTTTCAGCAAATCCTGGACGGCCTCCCATCACCAGACGGGGCACAGAGTGACCCTTGGGCCCGCATCAAGCGCTGCGTCCTGGCCAAGCCCGGCTTCTTCCGTGTTGAAAAGGTCACGAGTCAGTTCGGAGCCGAGGGTGTGAACGAACACCGCATCAACGTCATTGCGGAGGAATTCAACCGCCAAGCTGACCATTTGGCCACGGACGCGATCGCCCTACATCGCCGCCCGCCGCACCTGATTGAGGAAGCTAAGAAGCGCCACCGCTTAGCCGTCGTGCTGCACAGTGTATCCATCGCCATATACAACAAGCGACACCGCACTCCCCCGCTACCCCACAGACGAGCAGATTTCACAAACGCTCATCTGGACAAGCTCGAACCAAACCCCATGCTCACTACTATCGCTTCCCACGGCCACCAGCTGCTTCCCGAAAACCTGGACGACTTCTGGGAGGAGGCGCACCGTCCCAGAGACACCGATGATAACGGAGAAGAAGACCCCTTCGGTTTCGGCGGAGGCATGGACGACCTTGACGCCCCTGTGATCCAACCCCCGTCGACACCATACCGACGTCGGCCGTCCCTTGCCACTGGGCCAGGGGCACCGACTTCGGTCGTGCCTACTGGTGACTCTGGCGTTACGCTCTACGACAAGAGTTCCGATGGTGCGCAAAACCAAGGTGTCGACCCAGGGGCACCGACCACAGTCGTGCCCACTGGAGAGTCGGGCCCGCCACTCCCCCACCGTAACGCCGTCGTTGACCTGGTACACCGCGCTAGCCCCGACGTCGCCAGGGTGCCTTTTGCGGTGGGGGACACCAGAAACGACGGGGACACACATTCGCTGCGGAACCAAGCCGAGGTCGTTCACGCCCTGACCGCAGGGCCCGATTCACGGACCAGGGTAAAGCCGCCCTCGCCAACCCCTGGCGCTCCTGGCCGACACAGCGCACCCCCAAGGCGGTTGAGTGCTCGCCGTATCATCCCTAAGCACGAGGCCCCCGCCGACCAGGCTACTACAGGCCTCCCCGCTGCGGGTGCTTCCACAGTCACCCCTCTGAGGCGGGGCCGACCTCCGCCCCCCGCTCGAGCCAAAGCGCGTCGACCAGGCGCCTCCCCGGCAGGCGAAGGGTTAACGCAGCGATGTCCACCGTCAGGCACAAGACTGACCCGGTGGCCACGCGAGATACTGACTGCCGCGCCAGTCACGACACGCACTTGGTCATCAGGGCCGCCGCCGACTGCCCCCTCACCCAGGCCCTGGGTACAGTCCATGACCGAATGGCTGTACCTTACCATCCCCCGCGAGGCCAGGACACGGACGTTCCTGCCTCAGCTGTGGAGCCCGACGCGCGCACATGGACGCAGTCGCCCTCGATAGCCTTTCGCGCCCCGAACCCACCCTGCGGGCCCTCGGGACAGGGAGCCTGCTGCCCCCTCCCCAAGCACGAGTACTCCTCTGGTCTAGGTAGAGGGCCCTCCACTGAAAGTGTGTCTGGCCGCCGTGTCCCCGACTCGGGCCCTCCCTCCACCCCCCGCCCGCCCCGTGACG